CGTACGTTGATCGAAGAAAAATAATATAGGTTGAACATCTAATCTACACTAAAAAAATACAACTAACAAATAAGATTGGATCCTTAGACCTATACTAATGCGACAATGGAGTTCATAGCATCCAAACCATAAGCAACAACAGCATAATAAAATATAAGAAAACCAATGATAAAGAATTGTTCATGACGATGGACAATTTTTATTTGAAACAGATTGAAACTATCTCGAATATACAATAAAATAAGCCAACTTTAGTAGGTGAAAGAATGTCACAATAGAGATAATAAGAAATGTCACTAATAGTCTAAAGATAAAGACGGAGGAAGAAAACAAACAAATATACCATAATGTTTTTATATATGCACATATAAAGAGTTCTCTATGGACATAGGAATTAATATACTTATCTAAATATTGGTTTGTTCCATTATTGTCGAAATATAAATTGTGTTTCCATTTCAATATATTTTATAATAGAATGCCAAAGAACATATGCTATTATCTGAGAAAAAAATATAATGATGCTACCCATGTAATAGTATCTATATGAAAATTGGTGGTTATCAAAGGATTTTTTAAACCATATAAAACCGCTATCACACCCAGTTCAAAACATAAAAATTCTCAACAATACGGAGGAAAACCTGACCAGTTTCACAGCGCTTGAGAGAAACCGGACTCGAAGGAAAGTCTCGATATATACAGTTCCCAAGTCAGTATGCAACTCAACCAGTCAATGCCTGTTGGTTTCTGCCTTGAAAATGTGCATGCCTCTCGTTATATATCTCTATCTCGTCTTTTGATTCTTTTTTATACCATGTTGTGAAAATTGAAGGTGCTAGGGAACCTTGCTTTCGATAGGTGAACGAATTAGATGGACAAAAAGCCATTAGACGACAAGACGGAATAATAGCCATGTCGGTTTAGGTGTACGGAGCTTTCAGGTAAACCTCACAGCTTTCTTCTTATGCAATACGCAAAGAGAATAAGAGATGGATATATACATCTCGTGACTTTGGCTCAGGATTGTGCGTCACCGTCGAACTTGCAGCCTCTAATGTTGAACTTGGTTGACAATTTGACATTATCCAGCAAGAAATGACCTAATTCCGTTTAGCAAGAAGTGACCAGATCACCATCGCAACACTTTGAATTTATTTTAACGGACGGACTAAAAAACCCACGCTTATATAAGACCCTGAAAACTTAGCCACACTAGTAAAAATCAATTTTTACTAGCAGAGCATTAAGAAAACCGTATGAAAAATACATCTATTTTTACAAGTAGTGCTCTTAAAATATGTCGTATGTAAGAGAATCAATTTTTAGCGGCGGGGTCCTAAGGGCCCCGCAAACAAAACTTGTGGGAGAGAATAAAATAGCATGTACATCCCCACCAACCAAGCCACGGAAATCATTTTCCCCTTGCTCTTTTCTTTTTTTCCTCGGCTATCACCACCAACCCCGGACCTAACCCCTCCCTCAATCACTTCTCTCTCTCCCTCTCTCTCTCTCTCGATTCTTCGGCAAGCGGCGGCGGAAGGAGGTGGCGGTGCCGGTGGTACGAGGAGGCAGTGGTGCTCAGTTGTGGCGGCGCGGGGGAGGGGTTGGCCCGCAGCAGCAGCCTTGGTGACGATGGATCGTGCAAATCTGGCGGCAAAGGTGGCACGGTGAGGCAGTGGTGCTTGGTGGTGGCGGCTGCGCGGGGGAGTGGGCGGCTTGGCGGCGGCCGGCGGCATGCTTGGCGATGACGGATGGTGCAGATATGGCCCTGGCGAGCCTCGGGAGTGGCGTTTCTACCGCCGCCGGCCTCGTCTTTCCTCGTCAAGTCTGCGGCGATGGTGAGGCCATTGACCTAGCAACGATGAGCTCGTTCGTGGCAGGTAGCGGTAGGGGTGAAAACGGTACGGAAACGGACAGAAACCACCTTTATCGTTTCTGTTTTCATATTTTTTTTTCGGAATCAAAATCGGAATCGGAAACTCCGGATACGAAAACGGAATCGAAGATTATCGAAACCGAAAACGGAGCGAAAAAGAACCGGTGCAAATATGGTAATAAAAATTTATCGGAATAAAAAACCCCTCAAACTGATAAATCCAATTCTCAAGTCTTAACGGTCAATAATTCACCATAAAATATAATCATATAAGTCCAATTTTTAAGTCTCAACAGTACATCACAAAACACAATCTATGGAATAAATTATCTTATGTTTAAAAGAGTAATGCTGTTGATAAATCCCAATGCAGGAAAAAATATTCTTATGTAACTTCATATTTGCATAACAAATATTTTTAAAGAAATAACAACCAAACACCATGGTATTCACTATTCAGTGCTTAAAAAATCAAGGGTATTTCAGTCTCAAAATTTTCGGAAATTCCGAGAAAATTTTCAGAAAGTTTCCGACCGATTCCGAGTTCTGACAGAAACTGCCCTTATCATTATCATTTCCGATTCCGTTTCCGAGAAAATATTTCCGAATTTGTTTCCGTTTCCAAAAAAAATTCCGACCGACAGATTCCGTTTTCGAAAATAGGTCCGGAATCCGGAAAGTTTTCGTACCGTTTTCACCCCTAGGTAGCGGGCAGATCCAAGGTCGAGCTCTACGGCAGTGGCGAGGCCTTTGACCCAGTGACGGCGACAACGGCAGATGTGCTGGTAGAGGAGGCTAATTGGGAAAACCATTTATTGTGGAATTTGTGCTCATTGATATATGGATTTGTATTGTGATATGTTTTTGTTCTTAGATTTGCTTTGCAATGTGGATTGGGAATACAGGGCTACTGCATCTGAATATTTTCAATTTTTTTTCAAAACTTCTTTGCTGGTGGTTAGAGAGCAAATGCAATGCATATTTTCAATTTTTTGAACCAAAATAAGCCTCGCAGGTGGCCGGCTTAATACATACGCTAGTGAAAATTGATTGTCACTGGCAGCCCACGTAACACGCACCCGCAAAAATCGATTATTGTCTGCGGCCACGTAACATAGCTACCATCGATAATCAATTGTCGCTGATGGTTGAAGAGTTGCTTGTGAAGACCTTTTATTTTCTCTGGCCTTTTGTCGCAGGTGGTTAGCCTAGTCGCTAGCAAAAATTGATTTTAGCCGTCAGAAAAAAAACCATTTTTTACCGTGCACAAAACCTTATTTGGAGGAGCCCATGGATAAAATTATTTTTTACTACTGTACCTCATTTTCCACGCACTACTACTAATACTACGATTTTTTTCAGTCTTGCAGCTCATGCAAGGGAGCAGAAGCCCAAGAGGCCGAACAAAACCAGCAGCAAAGACAGCAACGCATCAAACCATTTGGCCCAAGTGTGACCCGCATTTCAGCCTCTGACGCGTGATGGTCAGAAACGATTGAGATAAGTTCACTTTAAGTCTCTCGTCTTAACACCGAGTTTGAATTACATCATCGAGCCGTAATACCAAATATAAGGTGTCTCTCAATTTGTAAAACGATGTACCTGAAATCTCAGACAATATAGTGTCCGGTTTTAGCTAAAGTGACGAGTAGGACCCACGTGGACCCCACATGTCAAGGCTATTCCCAAAAAAATAGAAAAAAAACAAGTGAGGCCCACATGTAAGCGAGAGAAAATGGTGTGGGCCCCACATCTCTTCTTTCTTTTCTTTTTCTCTTCTCTTCTCTCAGCGGGCGTGCAGTAGCAGGTGGGGGAGAGGCGGCCGGCGGTGGAGTGGCAGGCCTGTTCAGCTAGCGTGAGCATGGACGTGGCCTTGTCAGGCACGGTGAGTAGTTGCCACCCGGGGACGGTGAGTAGCGGGCGGTGGCGCGGGTGGTGGGCTGCCGCGGTGAAGTTGATCCACCGACGAGGAGGCACAACACCGAGAGCGGCGATGTTTGGTCCTCGTCGGAGTCAATGGCCGGCAGGCGCAACCCGCGAGGTTTGTTTCGGTGGCGACGAGGCCCGGGAGGCGACCGAGAGAGGGGATTTTCCCATTTTGGCTCAATCATCTCCTCTCTCCCGCCGCTGCCGTCCCTAGATTTCTAGCCCCATACAGGTGAATGGGATGGAATCTAGGCACCGTTGCTGATGTTGTTGCTCCTCTACTCGTGGTGCTCGGTGACGGCGTCAAGGTACAACGGGAAAGGGTGGGACTGGGAGGAGGAGGAGTGGCATCCGAAGAGGGGGGAAAGGGCGGTTGTGGCAACCATGTCTGCAAGCCAAGACCCGCGGAGAGAGGGTTGTTCGTGCTGGACGAGGGGCATAAGGTGGTGGAGTTGAAGGGTGTCTAGTAGGGTCGTGCCTGTGGTACGCGGCCGTGCCCGGCGGTCGCTGTCGTGCCGACCCGCGGCAACGCGACTGGTAGTGGTCGGCAACCTTTGGGTGCTGCTGGGAGGGACTCGTGCCCCGTCTCCCGCTGCCTGTCGCCAGCAACCTTTGGGTGCTGCTGCCCGTCGCCCGCTGTTCATCGGCCGTCGACTCCTCTCTCCCCCTTTCCTCGTCGTCGTCCCTGCATGCCGATCGGGCTGAGGGAGTACTCCAGGGGAAGCCCTTCCAAGTTGCGGCGACGACAATGTCCGCGCGGCGCCGGCGGCACTCCACCACCGGCACACCAAGCTATGGTGGGGGCGGGCTCGAATGTGGCGGCGGTGCGCGTGGTCAAAACAGCTGTCGCCGGAAGCTAGAGTAGTGGGAGGTAGGGCACTACTCCCTTCTTTTCTTCTCGCTTACATGTGGGCCCGATAAATTTTTTAATTTTTTTTGACTGACTAGGATTCCTCGTTAGCGAAACTGCCCATATATACTGAATGAGACCTATTTTTCACAATTTTATATAATTTAGGGGTAGAGATTTCTGATATTAGATATTAGGGACCTTAGACAGACTCGACGTAAAGTTGAGTTACGTTAGGCGAACTTATTCCTTTCCTCATCTCTCGAGTCCTGGGCCACAATCTGTGGGAAGGTCTCAGCGATTAAGGCTCGTTTGGAGCACTGGAAAGATTTGTGAATCCTGACAGAATCGAACTGTCTCTAACTATTATCAAACTTATGCAAAATCCCAAACCAGGCAGTTTTTGGTACACAAATAATCTGCTCACTATCATGGCAGCTAGCAAAGTTTGCTTCCTGTACTTATACAATCTTTGGTAGCTCGATCGCCAGAAAACAATCGCCTTAAACATCGATCTGAGAACTGGATTGCGCAAAAACAACACTTGAGTGAAAAAAAAAAGTCTTCAACTAACTAAACTAAGGACCTACTATGTATATACTGTATGAACACATGTATACAGTACATGATATTCTGTACGTATACACGTGCTAATCAACCGATCATGCAGTAGTGTTCTTGGCTTGCTCCAGCAGCTTGACAACTTCAGCCATGGTTGGCCTGTTGCAGGGCTCAGACTCGAGGCACTTGTCTGCCACTTTGAACACCAGCTTCACCTCCTCCGCCGGGAACGACGACTCCAGCGCGCTGTCGACCGCGTGCTCCTCCCTCTTCTCCTCCATCGTCTCCTTCACCTGCACGTACACACCGATTACCCATGTTGGTATGTTACAAACTTAATTAATCACGTTATTATCTTGTTTTAATGATTCGTTGATTAGGCCCAATAGTAGTACGTTTGACAGATAATTAGTATACGCGTATTTAATTATTCATTGATCGTGCATGACTTTGTGGTTTGTAGTACCTGGTGATGATTGGTCACTGCTAATGAATGATCAGTCTCAGCAACAAAACACTGTAGATGATGTGTGTACGACATGAAATGAAATGGATGGAAAGCTTTTAAGTTCTGTTTGACACGGCTCTGGATCTAAAATCTTTTAAACTGGGTATTTTTAACTTCACAAATATATGAATTCGAGTATGTGATTACGTTGATAATATTTAGATAAAATCATTTTGTTTCATTTTAAATGAAATATAAGATTTTAAACTTTATAACTTAACAAACAAACTTTAAATCTAACGCGGATATAGAATCTGGAGCTGTGTGATCTTACCCAGGTCACTAGCCTCGTGCCGTTCTCAAGAAACGACTCGTCCGTCGGCCTCATCCCGGTGAGGAGCTCCAGCAGCACCACGCCGTAGCTGTACACGTCGCCCTTCGTCGTCGCCCTCCCGGTCTCGAAGTACTCTGGGACGCACACAACATGTTCGATCAAATGACTGACAGTGGTTCAGAGAAGCTGGTGATGAGGCGAGGTGAGGTGTGGTGGTCGGACGGAGACGGACCTGGGGCGAGGTAGCCGAAGGTGCCGGCGACGACGGTGGTGACGTGGCTATGGTTGGGCTTCATGAGCGTGGCGAGGCCGAAGTCGGAGACCCTGGCCTCCATGTTGTGGTCGAGGAGGATGTTGCTGGACTTGATGTCGCGGTGGATCACGTGCGGGATGCAGTCGTGGTGCAGGTACGCGAGCCCCCTCGCCACCCCCGCCGCGATCTTGTGCCTCGCCTCCCACCCCAGCGCCCTCCTCGTCTCCTCCTTCCCTGCAACCACATCAAGAACTCAGGATTTCCATGGACAAAATCGCCATAGCTGCTTCGAGTTCTGATGTGTATATGTACCGTGGAGGATGGTGTCGAGGCTGCCGTTGGGCATGAGCTCGTAGATGAGGAGGTTGAAGTGCGGGGCGGCGTAGTAGCCGCAGAGCGGGACGATGTTGCGGTGCTTGATGTCGCCCATGGTGTCCAGCTCGCGCTCGAACCCCCGGTCCATCTCGGCGCTGCCGCGGCTCAGCTTCTTCACCGCGAACGCCGCCTTCTCGCCGACGCTTAGCCTGTACACCGTGCCGTACCCGCCGGAGCCGATGATGTCCTTGTTCGAGAGCCCCATGATCATGGTCAGGAACGACTTGGGGCTCAGCGACTGCATCGCCGCCGACCTGAACATCACCATCTTGCCACCTACAGTACGTGATGATCAATTGATCATTCGCATCAACAGAGAAGAATTCAGCAAGAAAAACAAGTCAGAATTAATCTCTGTTTTTTTTTAACCTGTCAGGCTGTTCTCGATGATCCGTTTCTTGCGAGCCCACTTCTTGTAGAGCAGGAAGGAGATGAGCATCTTGGACACGATGAACAGGATAGAGCAGATTGTAATGTAGAGTGCAACCATGGTAGTATGCATCTTGCAATCCTGAAGAACCAAGCAGCAGCTGCAACTTTGAGCCCTTGATGACTATATCTATATGCAAAAAAAAACTATATTCCCCTTGAAGAATTCAGTGAACCCTGAAGTCTGAACCCAAGAAATGAACAAAAAATCAAGCTCTCCAAAAAGGGCAACAGAGAACAACAACAAAAGTCACTGCATGAGGCTGTATGAACGAGCTGTTCTCAGCTCGGAAGCAACAGAGATGAATGAGGAGGCCTTCTTCACTGCTGCATGGGCTCAGCTGCTTTGGAATCAGCAAGTTGTGGCGATGTGATGTGAACATCATGGAGATTGGACACACATGTGAGTGCTGTAGAAGAAGCACAGGTGTCTCGATGAGCAAGCAGTTGGGCAGGATTGCATGGAAAAAGAAAGTACATTGGCCCCAATCAATGGGGACTGGTTGGATCATGTGAATGGCAGGCAGAGTCATCGCTCATGAACACCACCCTTTTTATTAATGGGCGTGCCAATCCTAATTTAATTCTGCTACTGTTTATCCAATTCCTTTTGTTAATTTCACTGTTGTTTCTTTCATTTTTGTGTAGTATTTTCCATGAGGTTTTACTTTTCAGAGAAGGTAGAATTCTACTAGTAGTTTCAGAGGTAACATCAGAAAACAACCGCATAGTTACTAACTTACTACTGAATATCCAGATTAGAGATAATATTAGAAATTTAGGCATGAAACTATTTTATTCCTTGGATCTTTTTCTGTCTATTGTTAGTCAAAACGTTATCGAAGCTTGCGTGTACTAATTTTGGCGGCTGACTCTGAAACTCGAACGTTCACAATCACAAAGCCAGCAGTTAGATGGAAAAGCAATTTCTAGTTTGGCAGTGTCGGTGAGGTAGGGCTCGATTAATTTGTCAGTTTGAAGAAATTTGTCCTAAGCTGATTCAATTCGTCAGTTTGTGCAATGGTGTACGAGCTAAAATTGTTGAAAAGGCTGGCCTTGACTAGCTTCCAAGAAAATAGGGGTGTTAGCTGCCTTTTCCCCTGTGCTGTGTGGTTGTAATCCTGGAGCTGCACAAGGACCCTGCCGCCTGTAGTAGTAGCAACATCTATCAAACTTTTGTTTCAAATCACGTGATCAAACTGGGGAAGAGCTGGCGAATTCTGGACAATAAGGCAACGCGTTGTATGCATAATTGCATGTATGTGTAGTTTTTTTTTTTTTGAAAAAAATGGTTTTCTCACCTAAAGGGGATAGTTATGATAAATTTTAAAATAAATTTACGATAAATGTACTATATACCTATATTTTTTAATAATTATCTATATTGTATTTTAGATGAAAATGTAGGCGAAGGGACATCCCCTCGAGGAAGTAAAAACAGTCTCCATTTTTTGTTCTCCACTATTGCCATGCCTATGCGTTCCAATAAGATCTGGATGAATATGCATAGGAATGGTTTTATATATAGGTTGGGTTTTTTTTATCTGGTTTATTTGGTGGATTGATTTTCACACGAGAATATTGGTTATTGTAAAGTGAGTTTTTTTTACATGGGAAAGTGAAATGGTTAGGGTGGGGAGAATGGATGACTCCACTTTTACCATAATAAAGATAAAGCTAAGGTGATAATTGTAAAGTAGATTATTTAGTTTAATTCTACATTTCTAAGCACTGATTCTGGGTGTTTCTTACCAAACTAGCCTAAGTAAAATACATCAGGAGGATATCAATGACCATCGACCAACTTTGATTATATCATGTTTATTTCCAGTGGTTGTGTTATACACCAATTAAATATAATAAAATAAACTTAATATAATTTTTTTGTGTGGCTTTCATAAAAGTAGTTTATTATTACCTCCATCTAAAAATATAATGGGTACATGTATTTTAATATTTAACTCTTCTAATATATGACCAACAATTAGTTTAATATAAACTATACACCACTGTCTAGCTAGCCAGAATTTAAGTTTTTCTTTGGACAAAAGGAGTATTTGAAAATAATATCATTGAATTGAGTTTCGAATGTACTTTCCTATGATTATGTTCTACAAAGGTGATTTTACAGTGTTCTTAAAGAGGTATCAAGGGTATCACATTCTTTCTAGTGTAAAATTTAGTATCTCTTGATATCTCCGGTATTTGGAGGTAAAAAATTACTAATATTGGAGAACTGATCTTTGTTCGGATGGCAAAAATCACATTAGTCCCGGTTCGAATAGGAATCGGGACTAAAGAATATGTTCAGTTCTGGTTTATAAGCCCAACGACACTTTATGATCTTTAGTCCCGGTTGGTAAACACACCAACTAAATATCATTTTTAGTCCTGGTTTAATTGTTGTCGAGCCGTGTCAAGCCACCAATGATCTTTGACTAAAGATAAACACTTTAGTCCAGGTTGTTTATACCAACCGGAAGTAAAGATAAAAAAAATGGAACGAGATAGCCGAGCCGCATGGGCTTATCTCCTCGTCGTCCTTATCTTCTTCGCACGGCTGAGACAAAGAACCCCCGCTTCGCCCTCCTCCTCCCCCTCCCCTCGATCTCTTCATATGGTTGAGACTACGGCGACGGCGGGCGGCGGGCGCGCGCTCCTCCTCCGCATCCCTCTCGCTCCTACCTTACCCCTCGCCGCCACTCCCCCTCCTCCTCCTCCTCTCCCTGGCGGCGCCACCCGTTTCTCTAATGCCGTCTTCTCCTCCTCCCCCCTTCCCTCCGTCCTCGATGACGACGGATGACGGCGACCACCGTGGCCAAGAGTAGCGAGGAGGTGCCCCCGGCGAGAGGGCTTCCTCTGTATCTTCACCCGCCGTTTCCACATGGCCCAGAGCGCAAAGGAGAGGGGGCCGGGCTAGGGTGCGGAGGCAGGGCGGCGCACGACGATAGGTACATTGTCTTCTCTCCTATACTACGTCTCATCTTGTCAGTCGTCACGTTCTTGTTCTCGATCCGAGTTTTTGGTTCGCAGGATTTTGCATTTTTCTTTTCAGTTCGGCTCCCGATGTGGTGTTCGGTCGGGGTGCTTCATCGATGGACCGCCACCCGCCGCTTGCCATCTCCCCGTGGAGGCTCCGTCCACGCTCGCTGCTCGCCGTTTAGGAATTTGGTTGAGATGAGCGGATCCATGTTTCTTTTCTTCCCTAGCGGTTGTTCTTGATGTGCTAGTTTTTTCTTGTATAAATCCTAAGGAATTACCTAAGGAATGGTTGATTATATTGGTTGTTGTGCGATGCATCGATGCATATCTTTTTAGGTATTTAGGGATGGATTGTTTGGTCCGATACAAGCAGCAAAAAAAAAACAATGAAAAAAAGAAATAAAAAGACCTTTAGTTTCGGATTGAATGTTCCGGTTTACAACCCAGGACTAAAGATGAGTTTCTCAGTAGTGTTAATTACTTGATAAATTAAAAGTCAAAAACTAGTTTTATATATCACGCTAATTGTAACCATCTCTTATATTTTGGAAAAGAGGAAGTACTATATTTCTCATAGGAATCTTGGAATATCCCAAGAATTCACTTTACAGACAGGGCGTTTGCACCGCAAAATTTCACTAGTATAAAGCTTTGATATATACGTGCATGTACATACAGCTGTCATATATAGTATATATAGCTTTAGTACGCAGTTACACCCACTACTTATATATACTGATCAACTGATATATATATATATATATATATATATATATATATATATATATATATATATATATATATATAGTGCTCTTGCCACTTTGTGGAAGGCTAGCTAGGCCCCATGGGGTTTTAAGCCATATATCTTTGACCTAACTAAGTGACCAATCCAACAGGAGATCGGCGACCTAAAATTGATGGTTATAATTAATCTTGGCAAACCATGCATAGGCACTTATAAGCCCCGGAATTGTTATACAGGTCAGGATATATATGTTGTGCTCTAGAAGACCCCTGTGCCCTTCATTGCCGCAAAAAGGTTCCAGCGAAAAATTTGAATGGCCATGATCCAAAACGAGGGTCTGAATAATTTGCCATGCAATGCAAATGCAAGGCCGTCTTTTGTCACCTGAAAACAAGCTAGCTAATTCCCTCCGTTTCACCATGTAAGACTTTCTAGCATTGTCCACTGTATGTCTATACGTATGTGGACAATGCTAGAAAGTCTTATATTATAAAACAGAGGAAGTAGCTTATTAGCTGTACCCAACTCTAGCCACTACATCTTGCACCGAACAGACTTCTCAAAAGAAGATGATCATGATGATTAAGGAGAGCATTAAGCTATTAATTATCACTTACAGTCGATCGATCGAGCCGTCCATCTCGCAACTGTATGGCGAGCAGGACGTACGAGCCGGTACTTTTGGTACGACCTCCTCGATCACATGTACTAATCAGTAATCATTATCCATCTATCCTCCTGCTCGCCACTACAGTACTATACGTACCTAATTAGGGGGTTTAGCCCCTCTCTCCTAAACACCCCCTAAGCTACCTAGCAAAACAGCAATAGCATATATATACACCTTCCGGCGCAAAAAGGATCAGCTTTTATATACACGAATGTCTAGCTAGATTCGTATATAAAGATTAAGTTTATTTTAAACAGATGAACGTATATATACTCTCAGTATGTACGTAATCTCAATCTAATCCGTACGTGTCTTGTTTGTTGCCGTGGCAATTGGCAACACACAATCGATGCTCAGCTCAGCTCGCAGCAGCTGCAAGCACACGTTGCGATCAGCAAATCACCTGAGAATGACCGGTAGAGATCAACGGCCGTCCAGATCAGGTGATCACTAGCTGAATTGCTTGCTCAGGCATGCAGGGGCTACCTGGGCCTCTCGTACGCTAAGCCCCTGCGTGCGTGTCAGCTTGTCATTGTCATAGTTGGGTAATGGGTATATATGTTTTTTCACTTTGCAGGAGAAATTAAACCGAGAGTATATTCGGGCAAAAATAATTTCTGGTACGCTCGAGATCAACCGAAACCGCCCTGGGGGAGCCGGACGAACTCCCAGTCGGCATCATTCCAATTCCAGCATATGTGCAACTGACGCCCAAAATGAATCGTTACATCGACCCTATCACACCCGGTCGGCCGCCACCATCTTCCCAAGCAAATTTACACCCATATCTCTCTCTTTGGTAAATCTATAGCTACTGTACTATATATACATGCACACACAAGTGTATGTTACAATGTAGCCATGTAGGTGACTAGGTGTAGAGCCTCTGTTCGTCCGTGACAACTTTTACGGTGGTCCCTACTGGTCGTAGTAGAACTGGTGCGGACAACCCCATAGCTTTTCTATGGTTTTGAACTTTGAGGAGCTAGGTTGAAGTAGTAGTACTGAGGCTACCAGCTAGCGGGCGAGAGGGGGGCAGGAGAAGGGGTCGTCGTGGGGGAGTAGGTCGTTGGTGCGGAGCACGGTGAATACCATGAGAGCGAGCGTGACGGCTACGGAGAGGATGGCGAGCGCGAGCATGAGCACGCTCGCCGCCACCTCCCTCACCTCCTGCGCGTACTCCGCCGCCGCCAGCGCCAGAACCGTTAGCGGGAATGAGTACGCCCACCACGCCACACTGAACCGCCGCATCGCCCTCTTAAACAGTGTCGGCCGCGACACCTGCATCATATCCAAGCTATTAGTTCATTTATTTTGTTTTTAAGTTAAAATAAAAATAATTAACCATGCTTCATGACATGCATTATTGCTTTCTAAAGATTCGTCTTTTTTTTCAGCTAAAGAGAATTGTTTATGGCTTAATTGCTAACTAAGCATGATTAGTTGGCCGTGAGTCTGGAGGCACTGGCACGATACACACACATGCATAAATATATATTTTAGAGAAAGAGGATGATCAGCATACGTGGCACCCTAGTGGTATCCTACAGTCCTACACGATCCTAGTTGGATCAGTTCTTTCCCAGCCACTAAAATTAATGAAAACGAAAAGCAAAAAGGAGATAGATAGATGCAGAGCTAAAAAGCTGAGGGAAAAAAGAACCTCTCAGCGAAATGGATGGAGCAGAATTTGATCATTTCGAGAAAATGCGCATCCCCCACTTCTCTTCCCCCATCCTTTAGTTTTCTCTCGCAATATCTATAAACTCTACCTATATCATGCATCTATATAGGACTTCTATTTTCATTGTCAAATGCATCCTAATTTCTAGGGGTTAAAGGAGGAATCTTTGTTGAAAGTTTTGGATCAATGGAGAGCACATGGTGCTGTGGTTCTTTTAGAAATGAGAATTTTTATGATCTTTAAGAATACTAGAAACAAATGCCCGTGCTTTGCAACGGGTAAATGTTATTTTAATCTTATTATTATTATTATACGATTTAGATATGGTGAAATTCACTGTAAGAATTTACTTATATTTTTTTTTAGAAAATCATAAGCTGTAATTAGGAGTCTGACTTTTGTCTCAAATTAGATTGCAAGTTTTTTTAAAGAAATTTCTTATCCGACTCCTTTTGTATTTTTAAAAGCAAACAAAATTAAAAACCGACTCAAACAAAGATGACGTACCAAAACACCGATAAAAATATTTTCAATTTTTTATAATAGTAGAGATAGAGATATGATACTAAAATTTTACATTATTTAAAATAAGATACCTCTCGATATTTTTTAAAATGGTAGAGTTACCCTTTAGAAATGGAATTTATCTTGAGCGTTGGATAAAAAATGGGACGGTTTGGATCGGATGCCATGCTGACTCATCACGTTCATCCTCGGCGTTTGCGTGCAAATGCAATATAATGGCGTAAACGCGAGGCTTTTGCTGTGGAGAGCTAGCTTAATTACCAGGGAGGCGAAGAGGAAGAGGGAGAGGAAGAAGAGCATCTTGCAGCAGGTGTCGAAGGAGGCCGAGATGGCGTCCCAGGCGAGCGACGCCATGCTGGGCGCGGCGAAGAAGAGGAAGAACACCGGGCGGAGCATCGCCGGCAGCGAGTCGGAGCCGAGGAACCGCTGGTACAGCGTGACGAACAGCACGAGGTAGTGCGCGGCGCCCACGGCGAACATGGCGACGGCGCCCTCGTGCCACCCCATCCTCGCCGCCGCCCTCGCCGTCACCAGGTTCCCGATCACCGTGATGTGGCTGGCCGGGTTGGCCACCATGGACAGGAACTTCCTCCCCCGGGTGAACCACTGCCCGTACACCTTGACGTCGAGCGCCAGGATGGGCAGCGAGAACGCCCACCAGAGCGCGCGGTAGGGGCGCGCGTCGGGGCGGAGGAGCAGCGGCGGCGCCGCCTGCAGCAGCAGCAGCCAGGAGATCCACGGCGCGAAGAGGTAGTTCATGGCAACGTGGTGCCTGAACTCGGCGCGCACGGCGGGGAACCGGAGGAGGCACCGCGCGGCGTAGAGCGCGCACAGCGCCACCAGGGTGAGCAGCGCCAGCGACCAGAGGAGGACGAACGCCGCCGACGGCAGCGACCGCACCACGGGGCCCAGCGCCCGCGGGTCCGTCGACGCGTCGCTCAGCGTCCGCCACAGCAGCGCCTGCCCCGACAGCGCCAGGCTGATCCGGAAGTACCCCGCGTGGAACCGCGTCAGCATGCCAAACCTCGCCACCACCGGCGCCGCCGCCGGCTTCGTCGACGCCACGCCGCCGTCGATGGACGAGGCGGCGAAGGGTTTAAGCGAACGGGACGAGGTATCCATGGCGACTCGACTCGATCGATCGATCGATCAATGTCAGTGGAGAATGTGTTGCGTCGTGTTAAGCTTTTGGAAGTGAGATGGGTATTTATAGGGGGGTACGTGACACTGTGACGGCTAGTGTTGTGAAGCCAGGGTGCATGTGGGTGAGGCGGTAACCGAGGGTGGTTGTTTCCTGCAGGTTTTAATTGATTCTGGGGTTTTTTTTCTACTTTTTTATTTTTTTGGGGTAGCAAATAGGTTGATCAGCTAGCTGAAAGATGAATTATGCTGTGATGTGAAAGAAGAATGCCTATGCAATGTGGGCAGGTTACTTCTGTGGTAGAGACTGGGCTTGTACTTTGGGAAACTATTCTTGGCTTATGTTTCCTCTGATTTGGGAGCTAGTTAGCCCAGTTGCTCTGATTTGGCTAGTGTTGTCTACAATGTTTGAACATTAATTCTTCACTATAGAGGTTAGTACCTCGAGGTATCTGAATTTTACACTAAATTTTTTGGTACCTTCGTTTCAAATCTTACACTAGAAAATATGATACATCTCAATACTTTTTCAATGATGATAAAATCAACCTTCTAAAATATATTGCATATCCATTCCCTGCCCCCCGTCTCTCTCACTCTCAAAAGTTTTTGTTTCTTGAAAATTCACTATATAAAATTTATTACTAACAATTGAAGTAAAAATATGTGTTTAGTTTGATGGATGTAATACCTTTATATTCGTATTTAAAAATAATTTATACGATATTAATTTTGCAATTGTTAATAATATATTATGAACTAAATTAATGGTCAATATATATAATGGTGGAGATCATATAAAAAGCTAGTGTAATACACTTTCTATAGCTTAAACAATTCACTTTCCTCTCTCAAACTATTTTGTTGGATCACTTATCACATAAATATTTTTTTCTCGTTTTCCCTCCTGAGCTATTAAAAACTATTCAATTAGCAGCTTAATACCATTTTTCTTCTTTTTTTCTCTTTATACAATTCGTAATTCAATATGCAATTGTTTAGCCATAGATGACACCATTGTCAATGTTTTGAAATATTTTTAATCTTTTTCCGTAACTGTTCGCTAAAATTTTAAAATCTCAATGTTTAAATAAATATGTCTCGGTGTGTGCTTCCAATCCATGCAAAATTGCAAACCTTGGTAAAAAGAATACTTAATAAGAGATAATAAGTTGTAATGCACCTAACAACCCTACTAAATTTTAGTGCGAGGCATATATAGGACAGAGAGAAATAACGAGAGTAAACTAAACCCTTTAATAGTTTAGGGGAATAAATGAGCAAAAGAAAATAGCTTAAGGGTTAAGTGATCCGGTAAAATAGTTTGAATGAGTAAAATAGAATTTTTTTTCCTATTTTTAGAAAGGAGTTAGCACTATACTACATACTAAGCGTTATTTCCACCAGTTAGCAAATGGATGAAATTAACACCACTGGTACCGCTACGTGCTCGTTAAGAAACTGTAGCCAATTAAACAAGAAAACATCACATCGTCGTACAGCTACTACTCTCTTCTATAGATATAAAGGATTTTGGACGGATGAGATATCCCTTATGTTCTGGGAAACTGTAGCCAATTAAACAAGAAAAGATCACATCGTCGTACAGCTACTACTCCCTTCTATAGATATAAAGGATTTTGGACGGATGAGATATCCCTTATGTTCTGGGACAGAGGGAATAGTAGTTAATTAATCTATCCACACTTCTCCATCGGACAGATTAAAATTGCTACTAGGTACAACTCACTCTCAAGCCTCCCCCAAAAAGGTGATCTCTGTGCTGATCGATCAGAAAATCCACCGATTAGTACATAACCTAATTATTAACAAGGTCGAATCACGCCGTGTATATATATACCGGAAATTTTATCCATGATCAGCGCTTGCAGCAACAGCACGGCGCACCTCGACTCCAGAGTCGTCGTCGGAGTCATCGTCGCCGGCCGGTCGCCGGCGACTTTCTTTTAATTTGCCTGATATCGCGGAGACACAACCGATGGAAAACTAAAGCACGCAGCAAAATATGCAGGTGCAGGCAAGCTAGCTAGCATGTCCACTTTGGCGTCGCATTGTGGCCTCTGCAATTCTGCATGTACACGGAGTGTGACAGACAGAGATGAGGTTTTGATCACTTGCAGATATGAGATATACTATCCTATCTCTCCAAATCCAATGGCAACTACTTCACCGGCAGTGGAATTGGACCAAAAAAACGGTTAGCACGTCCTATGATTGTGTGCTAGTAATGATCGAGTCTCTGATTCATCACTTGTCAAATTTGGGCATTCAGTGAGGATTGACCGTGCTGATAAGCATTCAGGCAAGTGGTGACTGGTGTGTTGAAAAGCTTGCATATAATGCACAGGATGTATATGCAGCAGATTCAGGAAGTCATGAGAAATATAAGAAAAAAATGGTAATAATTGCTTGGTGTCAAAATAGAGATTTTCTTACATTAATGAACTATTTGAAAATGTGCATTTGTTTTTATTTCTAGAGAGGGCCTGAATGGTGAATCTGCATAGCAATATATATATATATATATATATATATATATATATATATATATATATATATATATATATATATATAATGTGGATTAGGAGATTCTAAGAAGATTTCTGGTGATGAGTTAGTGCACACGTCATATATACGGCTCGATCACGACCTGAGTAGAGTGACCAAACAAACAGCACTTGATGGGATAATTAGGTAGTAAAAACTTAAACGCGCAGTTGGCGATATATATTATCAAACCGTCCTATCCGTGCCGAATATATGTATATTCAGCAAACAGGCTTATCAGAAAACGATGTTTGGCTAGCTTCAGTCAGACTGAAGAGCTAGCTAGCCAGCAGGATAACCTATCTGCAGTTCTGCACTTTGCAATTTGCATGCGCATATATATATATAATTAATCTGCAGAGATGAGGAAGCTAATGGTGGGGATGTGAGTGGATCCAGCTGGTTGTAAAATCTGTACACAACAAAGTTACTCGCCGCCATCTGAAATTCTGAATTGCTTCTTTGGTTCAACGCATTTGGAGGAAGAAAAGGGTAGTTTCCTTGCACGATAAAATTGCCATGAAACAAGCAAAAAGCGATCGGAATACCTGAATCATGGTGGCGATTTTGACCTGAAAGGAGACGGGGACGTACGCAGTTACACATTGCTTCAAGTTGCGAAAAATGTGTAGAGTCGCCCTGCCGTTTTTTTGACAAATTGACCCTTTTCAAAAACTTAATTCGAAACTAACCCCTGTCAAAAACTTCAACCAAAACTAGGCCGTCGGCTCAGCGCCAAGCGCATTGGCGCTGAGGTTGGCCGTGTCAGCGCCAACGGGACTGGCGCTGACATTGTGCCACCGTGGCGGCCGGGCCGATCCCCTAGCTGACGTGGCAGCTACCTCAGCGCCAACCGCTTCGGCGCTGAGGTGCCCAACCTCAGCGCCAAGTAAGTTGGCGCTGACCTTGGCTACTTAGAGCCCGGCCGAGGCCGCCCCAGCCAGTTCTTCCTCCGTTTTTTCCCCAGCCGCCCGCCTAGGGTTCGGTCGCCACCGCGTTCTCCTCGCCCAATCTCCCCCAAAAACCTCTCTAATCGAAGGTGATTTGTGCGGCATTGAGTTTGGGATCGGAAGAGAAGGTAAACCCCTCTATAAACCCTAAGTTCCCCAAAGTTTTATTGGATATTTTGCATTGTTTTGGTTGTAGACGTGGTTTGATAATAGTTGGCTAAGGATGGATTATTAGATGGATAATATGGGTGGGGATGAAGTGTGGAAGTGGCATATCTTTATCTATTTGGTGGCACAATGTCAGCGCCAGTCCCGTTGGCGCTGACACGGCCAACGTCAGCGCCAATGTGTTTGGCGCTGAGGCGACGGCCTATTTTTGGTTGAAGTTTTTGGCAGGGGTTAGTTTCGAAATAAGTTTTCCAAAAGGGTCAATTTGTCAAAAAAAAACAGGTCGCCCTGCATGGCTACGTATATACGAGATTTCTAGTTAGGCTTATATATACAGCCAGTAGCACCGTTGCAAAGTTGCAGTAATATGTGGAGGTTTCGCCTTTTGTAGTCTTTACACGCATGTCAAATGTCAAATTAGTACCTGTTATCACGTTTGACTTTTGTAGGTATCGTCCAACGGCGGAGCCTAATACAGGAGTATTTCTTATCTTAATTACCTACTAATTAATTAGATGATTCTATACTTAAACAAATTGTTTGGGGGGACGGCGAGTTCATAAATAGTTATATTTTGGAACATATAAGTAGTATATATAAATTTTATATATTATGATAGTACTTTGCAAGACAAATATATATATATATATATATGTGTGTGTGTGTGTGTGTGTGTGTGTGTATAACCATTTTTATGTTTTCTTTGGTTAAAACTAAACATTTTAGTATCAAAAGTCTGTGAATTGTCTTAAGCTTTTAATATATCTGATGCTTTTATCCCATCAAGTAATTTTAATTCGTTGGATTCCCTAAATAACTAATTTATTTGGACTAATGGATTAATTATTAATGAAGATGCGAATAAAATTCTCTAATTTTAATAATATATATTGTAACGGTAGTTTAATTTGACTGAACAATGGAATCAAGAGGTCAAAGCAGATCACTTATTGGTCAATTCAGCTGATAGAAGGCTTTGACCTACCTACCATAAAACCTGCAAAACCTTTGTTGCTACCCCTGTATTGTGCGCATTTATAGATGGCCTCTGTCATCCACAAGAAAAATGTATCAGCTATAGATTTCGGACGTCTAAACATTTTAAATTTTTCAATCACCTAAAATTGTACTATCAAAGGCTAAAACTAAAATACTAAATAATGTGTAATTGCTGTTTATTTTCATTGTGATCTTTGCTAGTCTATATGGATTTAATTTAATGTTGTATCAGCTTGAATACTTTTATATTTAAGTCTTATAATGTCGTTTTTGATTTGTAAATTTGTTTTATGCTTAGGTTGAACAATTAGTTGCTCAAACTTTTTATCTCAAAGTGGTAGGTGATAGTACTGGTTAGCTAGATTTTTCAACTGATGATATAAAATGAATACCGGTTTGATGGTCAACAATTCAAATCGTTTGATCAAATCTTGTTATATATGCCATATATTTATGATAACGAGTATTTAAATCTCCCTATAATTTTTTTTCTGTTTTAACCGAAGCTACATAATGGGGTTAGCGGGAGGCTTCTATGTACATATGCGACAGATAAAAATCACTTACTCCATTTTTTAATATAGATAATGTTGTTGATTTTTGGATACACATTTGATTAGGTATCTTACTTAAAAAAATTGTATAACTGCATAAGATATAAATTATGTTTAAAATACTTT